CTCTTGTTACCCAGGCTGGAGTGCAATGGCGCGATCTCGGCTCACCGCAACCTCCGCCTCCTGGGTTCAGGCAATTCTCCTGCCTCAGCCTCCTGAGTAGCTGGGATTACAGGCATGTGCCACCATGCCCAGCTAATTTTTTGTATTTTTAGTAGAGATGGGGTTTCACCATGTTGACCAGGATGGTCTCGATCTCTTGACCTCGTGATCCACCCGCCTCGGCCTCCCAAAATGCTGGGATTACAGGCTTGAGCCACTGCGCCCGGCCGACCCCATTCTTTTAAAAAAATTTTTTTTAATTTAAAAAAAGAAAATATTAGCTGGGCATGGTGGCTCATGCCTGTAGTCCCAGCACTTCGGGAAGGTGAAGCAGGAGGATTGCTTGAGGCCAGGAATTGGAGGCCAGCCTAGGAGGAAAATGAGACCCTGTCTCTCCTAAAAATGAGAATATTAGCCGGGCATTGTGGCTGATGCCTGTAGTCCCAGCTACTCAAGAGGCTGAGGTGGGAGGATTGCTTGAGCCTGCGAGGTCCAGGCTGCAGTGAGCCCTGATCATGCTGCTGCATTCCAGCCTGGCCCACAGAGCGAGACCCTGTCTCTTTAAAAATATATTTAATTCAGAGAAAAATGCATACTCTGTCAGTTTTTCAAACTGAGCCAGAAATCCAGAGTCCCTTTGTTTTGATTTATTCACAAGTCACAGTCATAGCTTCACGTCAGGGATGCATTCAGAGGTGTCCTCAGGCAGTTTTGTGGTTGTGCTGATGCACTGGGTTGTTCTTACACACCTGGATAGACAGCCTGCTGCACGCATGGGCCGCATGGTTCAGCCCGGTGTTCTTGGGCTGCAAACCTATGCTCAGTCCTGCAGGCACTTGTAACCCAGTGGTATTTATCTCTAAACGTAGAAAAGGCACAGCAAAAATACAGTCGTGGCCAGGTGCGGTAGCTCACGCCTGTAATCCCAGCACTTTGGGAGGGTGAGGCTGACGGATCACCTGAAGTCAGGAGTTCAAGACCAGCCTGGCAGCATCGTGGAAACACCCCCTCACACACACAGTCTTTACTAAAAATACAAAAATTAGCCAGGTGTGGTAGTAGGCGTCTGTCATCCCCACTGCTCGGGGAGCTAACACAGGAGAATCACTTGAACCTGGGAGGCGGAGGTTGCAGTGAGCCTAGGTGGTACCACTTTACTCCAGCCTGGGTGATAAGGCAAGACTGTGCCTCAAAATATATACATACATATTAAATAAAAATACAGTTGTAATCTGATGGGACCACTGTCAGGTATGTGGCCTGCCACTGACTGGAGATGATTCTGTAGGTGGCAGTGATGGCTGTTTGGGAAATCTGAGTCCATTTCATTTGAGGGAACCCCCAAGGTTATCTGACTGTGGCCTCTGATAAACCTCTCAGATTTGGACAGTTCGTTACCAAATTGGGTTCAGGATGTTGGGGTGTGTTGGGGGTGGGAGGGAGGGGTCACACTCCCAGAGGCCCCCCGGCATCAGTGTGACTGCCACCTGCAGTGCTGACAGCTACATGCCCTGCCTGTCCAGGTTGGTGCTGAGGACATGGATGGCTTCCAGGCAGACACGGAGGAGGAGGAAGAGGAGGAGGGCGACTGTATGATCATGGACATCCCGGATGCTGCGGGTGAGAAGGGCTCTAGACAGCAGAATGCACTGGTGAGGTGGGCACAGGAGGTGAGCCTCAACAGGGAGGGGATGGGGCCACCAGGAGGGCTTGTGGCTGGGAGTGGCTCCCGCCCTGCCGCATCCTCGGATGGGCTGGGACCTGGGTGCTGACCACGCCAGGCACCCTTGTGGCCGCAGAGCCAAGAGGGCCTGTGCTGGGAGTCTCAGGTGGGATGGGGTCAGAGAAGGCTGCACTGAGGCAGGAAGGAGGGCCAGGTGGATTTCTGGAGTGCTCCCTAAAGAAGTACAGAGGCCCTGCGGCGGGCTGAGTTGAAGGAGTGTGCTCGAGTGGCAGCCAGCAGGGTCAGCCTGAGGGCAGGTGATCACCTCTACAAGGGGGCACAGTGCCCCAGCCTCCGTCTGTGGGTGGAGGGTCCCGCCCCCTGGGCTGTCACAGGCACCAGGAGGCAGCAGGGTGGGGTCTTCCCCCAGGGAGCCTGGTGGGCACAGCCAGCTCAAGACCCTGCCTCTCTCACCCTGCAGAGGTCCAGGCCCCGTGTGGCACCGCTTCTGGAGATGGGGGTGCTGTGGGGGTGGACGCTGGCAAGGCCGCCCTGCCCTCAAGCCCACTGGGTGCCTCTTGAGAGCCGTGGTGACGTATGTAGAACGCTTAGGGCGTCCTCCCCCCGGAGCAGATACTTGAACCGACTTGATTCCTGTGTAAAGAGCACTTTGTCCTGCTTCACGGACCTTCCCGAGGTGTGCAGAGTTCTATATAGGATGCTGGATTAGTTCCTTTGATATTTGTAAAAATTCCCCCAAGAGCTACATATGAATCTGCCCTTTAATAAAGCATTATTGAGATTGCTGGCCTATCGGGGAAGCCTGCGGGCGCGGGAGCAGGCATGGAATCCAATGCTTGTAAATGAATTGAAGCGCCAGGATCACCCGCCTGGCCATGTGCACCTGGACCTAACGAGGCAGTGTATAAACTTATTCTCTAGCCCTGAGCCGCTCTGTCTTGTCTTTCCTGAGATCATCGTGTTTCTCTGAGGATGCGCCTTGCCTATGGCCCGGCCCCATGTGGTGCCTGGTGTCCGGGGGCAGCCTTGTGCCCTGTGACAGCACTGTCCCATCTGTTTGTTGCTAAGTCCTTGTACAAGGCCAACCTGGTTCAAGGTGTGGTTTTCTCCCCACGAGCTTCTGCCTGGCAGTCCCTCCTGCCCTGGGTTGGGAGGTTAGGAGGGGGTGTTCGTGACCTGCTGGGGTCACCTTTCTCAACCCAAAGCTGCCAGGAGTGGAGTTTGGCTTCTAGTCTGAGGCTTTGTGAGAATCCATCCCTAGGTCAGGTGCATGTCTTTCTAGTGCTGGAGCTAGGAGGTGACTTACCCGCTCCTGGGGGCGGGGGCTTTATCCCCGTCGTCCCCGAGGGAGGAGAGGTGACAGCTGCTGTGGTATTGAGCGGCCCAGAGCACACATAGCCACAGGGAGGGTCACCCTCGCCAGCCCTGCTTCTCCCGGCCACACCCTGCCTTAAGTCTAAGCTTCCGTTAAGGGGACCCCGTGTGGGGAAGGTGTTGGCTACCACCTTCCTCCTGGGAAGCAGGGTTCAGCTGTGCACGAAGCAGAGGGTCCCCCCGTGCATGCCTTTGGCGAGCTTTACAGGGGCTCCCGACAATCCGGAGTTGCATTCTGGGGCCAGCAGGGGATGCAGGACTGGAGGGACAGCCTCTGTTCTCAACGAGCCAGGTGCCTACACCAGCTGGGGTGGTGCCGGTTCCTTGGCCAGGGCAGCAAACAAGATACCAGATGCCTGCCCAGACAGCCCACAGGTCGGGGCGACAGGAAAGCAAGCAGCTGCTGGTGGCCCAAGTTGTGACAGAAAGGCATGTTGGGGGCTCCTCCCAAGCTCTCTGTGAGAGTGGAATACTGCAGTCACACTGGGGACTTGAGGCTGCATGTCTGTCCATCACTTGGCTGACAGCGGTCAGAGGACCGGAGACCTGAGCCCTGTCAGGGGACCCTCAGGGGGACCCACAGCACTGGGCCAGCTAGGGGTGAGGCAGGGACCGATGCAAGGTCAGGGGTATGAGCACAGGCCCTGGCCACCTCCCCCTGGTGCAGACCTGCATCAAGTCAGCAGTGGAGCCGGGCACACGTGTCCCCTGGGGCTGCCGGACCACAAACCTGGTGGCTTAAAGCAACTGTCACCATCTCACAGCTCTGAGGTCAGAACGTATGCATGCTTCGCCAGGCTAACATCAAGCTGTGGACGGGGCCAGGCCCTCCTGGAAGCTTTCCCAATGCCCAGAGGCACCGCATCCCTTGGCTTGGGGGCCCTTCCTCCACCTTTACAGCCATGGCGCAGCCTCTTTCAGTCTCTCTCTGACTCACCCTTCCACCACCTCTCGTGAGGACTGTGTTGGGGACACTGTTCCCCGGACCACCCAGGACCATCTCCCAGCTCAAGATCGTTCATCATACCCACGAACTGTCTTCAGGATACTTTGTCCCACTAGCCACGGTGAAGCCAGCCTGTGACAGCACTCACCTCCCAGGCTGAGGGAGGCACGCAGGGACTGGGCCTTTGTGGGCACAGCACAGCCTCCGCTATCCCACGGAACTTCCTCCCCAGGCAGGGGAGGCTCGGCAGGCACTTGTGGCCAGGAACTGGCCGGAGAGCAGGTTTCTGCCTGGTGCTGCCTTGGCAGGGAGACACACCCAGCCCCCATGTGTTGTCCACTCAGCAGCTGAGCCTGGCCTGTGTCCCATGGTTTGAACAGAGCACCAGGAAACCATATTCAAACACCCTGTTTATTTGGGTTCATAATTTAGTAACTGCAGGTCTGTGCTGGAAGGCCAGTGTCCCCTCCTGCTGTCATCACCCACATCCACAGACCAGCCCCAGCGTCGGGTGCAGCTGCTGCCACCCATGGCACACGGGAACAGGACCTATGCCATGGGCCTGCTCTCCTGTCCAGGGAGACGCTCGTATGTCTGCCCAGGGGCTTCATGACACAGTTACTGCAGCTAGGGAGGGCTTCGATTTGGTGGTGTCCCCAGGCCTCTCCCTTGGGGGCTGGGAGGCTCTGCCATGGGGCCTGGTTCCATGGCTCCACAGCCGGCCGACACCTTTCCCTTGCCCATGGGGAAGAGCAAGTCTTTCCAGAGGTGGCTTGGAGGCCCTGGGGCGGTAGGGACAGGGACAGGGAGAGCATGAGACAGACCCACAGGGCTGAGGCCAACCCTGCTTTTATTTCACGAGAGCTTCTCGATAGCTGACAGGAGCTCAGGTTTCAGGATGGAGTCTGGCTCGGCCCCGGCGGCCTTGATGTCCTCCAGCACGGCCACGTCCCACGAGAAGGTCAGGAGGGCAGAGGGCACCTGCAGTTGGGGCAGGCCGTCACTGTCTCTGTGTGGCAGCATGGTGGAAGGACAGAGCCAAGCACAGTCGGCCCTTCCCACAGCAGGGACCTCAGCGGGCAACCTGGGCTCCGGGACGCCTCAGGTTGTGAGGCGCTGTGGCTCGCACCCAGGCCTCCTGCCCTCTGTCCCTCAGGGGACTCCCAGGAGATAAACCTAAATCTACTGCACCAGCTAACATGCGTCACCCCTCCCATTTTACAGGTGGGAAACTGAGGCATGAAGTAGTTATGGACTTACTCAAGGCCATGCTGCCAGTAAGTGGGAAGGTGAGATTCAAACCCAAGGACCTGCTCAGGTCCTCTGCCCTGAGAACAAGGAGCCTCCCCCCTGGGGGTCTGTACTGGTTCCAGGAGAACCCGCGGAGGCATGGGGTCAGCAGCACTCCTGCAGGCCGACACTCACCAGCCCGCACTCGTTCAAGGCCGGATTCTCGTCCTCTGACAGCTTCTGCCCTCCAGAGGCCAGCAGCTCAAAAGGCAGCCAGTCATGCTGCAGGGCCTCCCGGACGAAACCGTACACTGCCTCCAGCCGCTCCCGGGCGTAGAAGGTCCCTGGGGATCAGGAGAGTGACAGCGGGTCAGGCCCAGGGACCCCTGCCAATCTGAGCCGCCCTCCCCGGGCATCACCGGTGCCCACCCTGCAGGAGGCAGCCATCGGGGAGGCGCACGCGCAGCAGTGTATAGGTGTACTTCCGCAGCCCCCGCTGCTCCTCCTTCTCCCGCATGGCCTTGGTCCGCAGCACGCTCAGCCGCTCCACCGCATCAGACCTGGACATACAAGCTGGGTCAGGCTGGCTGGCCCGGGTTCTCCCACCCCTCCCCACCCCACCCGGCAGACACTAGGCCCACCTGAGCCTCTGCTCCCGCTTGATCTCCTCAGCCGTGAGGTTGAAGAAGTCCCCAGGCAAGTCAAACTGCGAGGCCAGGGGCGAGGGCTGGAAGACCCGGCGCTGCCGGTCCAGCTTGGCACGCACAGGCTCTGCGGCCAGCAGCTGCTCCTTGTGCCGCTCCAGGCTCTGGGTCTGGGCCAGGGTGGCCTCGCTCAGCACATAGAACTCCTCAGGGTCCTCTACAGTGTAGCAGGATATGGGTGTCACTCTGTGCAGCAGGGAGACCCCAAGCCGGGCCCTCCTGCCCCGAAGCCCCTCGCCCCCATTCCCACTCAGCCAGACCCTGTCCGCTTACCCTGATCTGGGACGGGAAGCATCACCTTCTGGAACCCAATGGCCTCAAAAAACTCGTGAGTCCCTTCCAGGCAGTTAATGCGCTCCTGGGGATGGAGATGGGGGTCACTGGGGTCCCCTGGCTTCCTCCATGGCCTGGCCACTCCCCACCCAGTCCAGGGGCCCGGCTCTCGCTACTGGGGGCGGCTGCTGACCCCTGGATGGCTGTCTCAGTGCTGCTGCAAACCTGCTTTTCTAAGGTGGAGACTGCGGAGTTTCCATCAGTTCCACACAGGGAAAAGTCACAACTGTGCACGAAGAGCGAGGCTGAGGAGCCTGGTACTGCGAGGGCCAGATGCGAGGCTAACACAGGCCAGGGCTGCCAGACCCTGCCACTTACCCGGAAGAGCCACACATCTGTGTTTGCATGAAAAGCCTCCCCAGGGCCGCCGTGTTCCCAAATTAGCCCAACTGAAGAAGAGGAAAAGGACATGGGCGAGCAGAGGCAGAATCTGTTGATTTGGGGTGACTGGTGCATCAAACTCTCGCTCCCTGCCCTGTCCTGCTACCCTCTACCGACCAAACCCTTCACTACTGGTGGCTCGACTCTTGCTGGCCCCTCCAGGGAGACCACGGCCCAGCGTGGGCCACCACCAGCTCCTGCAGGCTGGCCACCCCCACCCCTAGCCTGGGCCTGGCGAGCAGGAGGCACGCCCACCTGGAACACTTTGTTCTGCAGCTTGATCTTCCGGTACTTCTCCTCCTCGGGGTGCAGGTGGATGTTGTCCAGGTACCTGTGGGTAGGCGGAGGGGTTAGCGGGGCATGGCCCAGCCTGCCTGGCAGCTCAACCACACTGGCCTCGAGTCAGGGGGAAGAAGAGGTCAAGTGACTCCAGAGAGGGAGGCCATCTCTGGGGTGGGAGGCATACCTTGGACACCCCTTGGAGGCCACCCCTAGTGCCAGCAAGAGCCCCAAGGAACCCCTCACTGTCCCACCAACCCAGGAGGACACCAGTTAACCAGAGTGGTGGGGGAGCCACAGAGCTGTCAGAGCGGAGAGCCAGAGCTGGGGAGCCATAGCATCAGCAGTGGGGCTCCTGTGGGGTGCTCCCTCGGAGCCAGCAGGCAGCGTGGACTTGCAGGCCTGCGTGGATGCTGAGAGTGGAGTGGGACCCTGTGTCCTCTACATGCTCCCCATGTGATCCACGGAAGCCAGTGTGGGGAACCCCTGATTCCTTAAACACCTTCATTTTGCACATGGGTAAACTGAGGCCCAAAGAAGACCAGCTCTTTCCCCGAAGGCATTGGGTACAGCTGCCTCACTCTTGGCCTGTGTTCCTTCCTGGCCCACCTCAGCAGGTCACAAGGGGGCCAGAGTGGGTGACAGCCCAGTGGGAGGGGGGCTGTGGTGAGCTGGAGAGC